CAAAATTATATTCATGTCCAAACACAACTCTAATTTTCAAATATCATTTTCACTTGAAAAAAAAAAATCACATTTTTTAAATTTTTTACAATTCTTATGTCCAAACGCCCACTTAGTATTTTATGGTGTTTTTTAGTTTCAATAATATACATTCATAGTTGAGTTGTTTTTTTCGAATGTTAAATCTTTTCTCCTTTTTCTATTATGATTTTCATCTTTTTTCTTGGTAAACTATTAGTAACAAAATTCATGAAAACATTATGAGTTAATAGACTTTGACACAAGATATAAGATGAGCTCAATGTGGTTAGTACTTGAACATATTGCCTGCAGAATGTACTCACGCATATATGGATTGTGAGACCAGAAGATTTCCTAGCAAATAAGGGACAAATAGTATTTCACTGTGCTGTGAGCCAATAATTGAATGGCAAACTGATATATAAGTTGTAATGTTGTATGATGTAAACTGCACATACTACAAGGTTAGCAAGAAGCTGATTTATCTGCCAAAGCTGTGATGTTATCTCTACAATGGTCCAGTAAAGGCACTGGCGGAGCTACATGTAATGAAGTCGTTGGAAAACTATACTGTGCAAATAGGGAAAAATAATTTTTTTGTGCATATATTTGTATTTTTGAATCCTCTAGACATAAGAGAAGTTTCTAGTGTAATGGCAAAGGCGGTCCAAAAATTGCTTTTAAGTTGCAGGGTTGAATCCTTGGTGTGACATTCCTGCATTTTTTTTTGAATATCCTTGGTTAGAATTCCTGGCTCTGCTACTGAGTGAAGGTGGTTTGAATTCAGGCTCGTGACTATTTCGAGAACTCCAAGTTTGTTTTCGCCATTAGTATTACATCAAAAGCCTTCACCAGCCCTTTGTAGGACTCTCTGAAGTTCCTCGGCCATTCCTTGCAAGAGAACAGGTTTTCTTATGAGACCGTTGATTCCGACCTGTAGGCATCTGTCCCAAACTAGTTCCTCTGAAGTAGCAGATAAGGCTATGATCAACGGCCAACCATGGCTGTGGAACTTGCGCACCCTAATCGCCACTTCAAATCCATCCATTTCCGGCATGTGAAGATCCAAAATGACAACTTGTATAGAAGTTTTTGAATGGCCCATTGCACTTAGGCACTGAAAACCAGTTGACACAGCAATTACTTGGCAACCCAGTTTTTCGAGCAGCTTTTTGGTTACCATTCTATTTACGTCATCGTCATCAGCAAGTAGAACTTGAAGGCCTTTGAACATTGAGCTGGAAATTGCTTGCTCCAAAGGATTTCCAAGATCAAACATGTGTTTTCTAAATGATGACTGTTTTAGAAATCTGAGAATAAGAGTCATCCCTTGTGCACGACCCTCGGAATTTGAGGACATATATACGTTTCCCTGCATCATCTGCAAGTTTTATGCGCGGAAAATACAGCAGGTCAGCATAAGAAAATAGAAGATGTAGCCACTGAAAGCAAAAGAACAAAGAATTATCATCCTAGTAGTAGCTTCCACATGATTAAAGAAAACAAGGGCAAGAATTTTTCATGTTTTTGTTGGTGGCAAGGTTTGAATCTGCGACGTGCGCTAACCTACTCATCACAAGATACACTCTTACCACTACCGTTTTAGTTTACACACTTGCCATTTTGGGATGTTCCAAATGTTTGACACTTCTACGTATATAATCACTGCAGTTGCATGCACTTTTTACATCTAATTTGTTAAACAATTTAGAATTAAATTTTGCTATGATATAATCCACATTTTATTAATTTTACACACACTTATATCGACCAGTAACAAACATAGCAAGCAAATCAGAATAACTCCGTATTCCCTACACATGGTTGAATTCAACGAATATAAACACACCGGAGATGCCAGCTCATATCCAAAACATTTTTTTTAAAAAAGACAGCCCGGTGCACTAAGCTCCTGCTATGCGCGTGTTCGGGGAAGGGCCGGACCACAAGGGTCTATTGTATGCAGCCTTACCCTGCATTTCTGCAAGAGACTATTTCTACGGCTCGAACTCGTGACCTCCTGGTCACGTGATATCAACTTTACCAGTTACGCCAACGCTCCCCTTCTCAAATCCAAAACATCATTAATAACATAATCAGGAAGTCGTGAGCATAATCACCTAAGGTACTTTTAGCAAAGAAAGAAGAAATCAAAAACAAAGCACCATAGTATGCTCACCTGAACAAGCTTTTTGCACATGCGGAAACTCAAGCCCTCCTTTAACTCTTTGCTGTTATACCTCCTTCCACCAAAGTGAATACTTGACATTGAGCTATTTCTTTGAGAACTTTCAAGATTAATTTTAGTTTCAAATTTTATGGTAACGTATTCATCAACTATGCTATGTCTTCTTGCTCCCCAAATCTTATCATTCCCATCCTCAGTTCCAACCCTGAATACAACGGAGCCGCTTCCAAAGCTGATATTTAATAGATGCCCCACCATATGAAGTAACACCTGAAACGTTCTCTTTTCATCGCCCATCACCAGATTAGGCAAAGAATTGGGAAAATCCGTAGAAAAGCCAAAGCCCTTATAAATACACAGGCATTTAACAAGACAAGAAGCCTCTCTGATCAGTGAATGCAGCTGAAAGGGCATCATTTCTACTGGGATTCTTCCTTCATCTTTCTCGGATATATCCATTGCATCATTTGTTAAAGTTGACAGAACGGTGCTTGTTCTCATCATTGTGTCAATAATAATCCTCTGGTTAGAGCTTGTAAAGTTCTCGTCTTGAAGTATGGAAAGCAAACCCAAAACTGAGTGCATTGGCTGTCTCATCCCATTGTTCATTACCTTTTGAAATGAATTCCTTGCCTGTGTTGCCTTCACAGCATTCTCCTTAGCCTGCTGCAGCAAACCATTCCTAATCTCTAGTTTCTCCCTCATTAATTGAGACTCTTCAAGAACCGTGGCATGAGACAGTGCCACCGCCACCTGATCAGCAACTACTTCCACTATCTCCATCTCATTACTGCTCCAATCAAAATCCCCACTTGGAAGAACCAAAACCAAAATGGCGTAACGAGTGTCAACCAACACCGGCGTTCCCCCTTTGAAATCCGAAGCACGAAGCAATGGCATCCGAATTGCTGCAACAGTACACGGCTCACCAGGCCCTCCACTGCTTGCAGCTGCAAGAACTGAATCTTGCCTCAAAATCCTTACCCCTTTGTTCTTTGTTATCTCCAACACATCCGGATCATCAATCGGAAGCGAACGTTGGTATTCTACAGCAGAACCGGGGCTTAACCCATGTGTCAAGTTCATCACTGACCTATTTTCATTTGGCATCCAAACTGCACAGTTGTGCAGATTCAAGGTCTTTGAAAGCTCAACTAGAGTAGTATACAAGATATTGTGTTTATCAATCGACTTCCTAATTTCTCGTGTAAGCATACGGACTTGCATACATACTTCTTTCTGCTTCTTCATCAACCCAACCTCTTGATCAAGCTCCATAACATTTTGTGTCAAAAACAGTTCTCTAACTTTTATTTTGAGGAGTAGAGGGAACAGAGTCAAAAGGGTAATTGCAGTTGCACAAGAAACAAGGGCAGTTAAGATTTTGGCAACTGTTAATGACATTATCAATTGGAAGGAAGGATGAGCACTATTATAAGTCAATCCATTGAGCAAATGAGTCAAGCCACATAGTACTATGAATGCAATGAATTGGATAAGAACCCATTTAAAAGGAATATTTGAGCAACTAATAAAGTAAAGCAACTCAAGTGGAATAGAAAAGTAAGCAACTGCAATCAAGAAATCACTCACCTTTTGGCACTCAAGAATGTTATGTATACTCCACATACCTTCTTCATCACAGTTACAATTGGAGAATTCAGTATCATTAGCTTTAACAGAGATAATGACCAAAGAAATCAACAATCCTAGAAACAACCACCTTAACATAATTAATATTCTTACCTTAAAAGGACTCCTTTCAAACCATCAAATTGGGAAAATTTTGAATTTTCTGAATATCTCAACTCAATCAACATGAAATGCAAACAACCAATTAGATCTCATTGGCTCACAACTCCAATAAAAAGTAGTAACAAAAAATGATCTTTAACATTCCTAGATCTAACATACCTATATTCCTCAAAATCTAGCATACCCTTTTGAGCAAAGCCTCAAAATTTTCAATCCAAGATTATTCTTTTCCCCAATTAATTTTCTTCTTTGCACTCCAAAAACAAGAAATTATGAAGGGAAAAAGATTAAAAACTAATAAAAGAGCAGAAAGCTTTAATCTTTACACATAAATAGAGAAACCCAAATTCTAGTTGATGATAAAAAAGTGATCTTGGAAAAAACAATATTCCAAGTTCCTCGATTTTTTTTGGCACTCCAAAAACAAGAAACTATGAAGAGAAAAAGGTTAAAACCTATTAAAACAGCATAAAGTTTTTTTTTTTACACAAAAATAGAGAAACCGAAAATCTAAATGATGATTAACAAAAAAAATATTGGAAGAAAACCCACTTTCAGGTGAGCTTCAGTGCTATATATGCAACCCTTCCTCTAAAGCAAAAATCTTTATACTAATTATCAATAAACAGAACCAAGAATGGGTAAATTAAAAGGGCAAAGAAAATATCCAAAGATTTTTGCTTTGGTCTTTTGATTTTGGGAGGGTCCCACATATATAGGTTTTTGACATGAAGAGAACCTAGACATTCTTGCTTCTCTGAATGTACGTCACTTTCCATAAAAACAATGTTCCTAAAACAAGGTTCAAAACTGCTTTGCTTTGCTGTATACAGAAAGTTTCATTTTACCGGCTATGGGACTTGAATGTTGCTCACCTAGACGTAAGCTCTATTTCCAACTGTCTGATGACCGAATACAAAGAGACATATACAATACATATAAGTTATTAATGAAAATAATTATATTGTTTATGTCAATTTATTACTTTGCTATAAATAATTTTTCTGAAAAAGATTATCCATTTAATACTTGTTGAAATTTATCTATAAGTAGCTGATGCAGGTAGGTTGCAAGCAGCTCAATGAAATGATTTGCAGCAGTTTCTTATTAAACAAGCAGGTTGCAAGCAGCTCATGCAGACAACTTACAAGCAGCTAAACAAAAGCCTTACAGCTGCTTCCTGAAAAACCTCGCAGCAGCTTCCTTTCTTTTATAAATAGAGGAGTTTTTAGTTCATTATGTACATAAGTTTGAATGTTGAATAATATATCAGTTTCTCTTTATACTTGTCTTTACTTTACAATCTTTATTTTATAATACGTTATCAGCACGAGACTCTGCCATCTCGAGCAAATACTTTAAAAGTATCACAGGTACGAACTTTCTTTTTCTAAATAATATCAAATCTTTCTAAACTTGAATTTGTAGCCCTAGATATATTGGGGCAAAAGCTACATGTCTTGGGTGCTTGATACTGAAATTCATCTTAATGTGATGGGTCTGGCAGACACCATCATGGACAAAAATCAAGCATCAAACCAAGATCGTGCCAAAGCAATGATATTCCTACGCCATCACCTTGATGTAGGCTTGAAAATGGAATATCTCACTATTAAAGATGCAGTCATACTGTGGAATAATTTGAAAGATAGATATGACCACCTGAAGATGGTCGTTCTTCCACATGCACGTTATGAGTGGACTCATCTAAGGCTACATGATTTTAAATCTATTAGTGAGTATAATTCTGCTATGTTCAGAATTATTTCCCAATTGAATCTATGTGGTGATAATATTACTGATCATGATATGTTGGAGAAAACTTTCACTATTTTTCATGCCTCGAATATGCTCCTGCAGCAGCAATATCGAGAGATGGGATTCAAAAAGTATTCTGAACTTATCTCACATCTTCTTGTAGCCGAGCAACATAATGAGATATTAATGAAAAACTATGAAAGCCGACCTACTTGTTCTGGTCCATTCCCTGAAGTGAATGAGACGAACTTCCACCAAGCTAAGCGTGGAAGAGGACGTGGCCTCAGTCGTGATCATGACCGTGGTCGGGGAAGAAATTCTAATCATGGTAATAATAATAATAATGCATCAAAGAACCCTCATCACCACCAGCAGTGAAAAATAAAGGAACAAAAGCATGGAGCGGTGCAAACAACAAAGCCAGAAAATGCATGCTATAGATATGGAGGAAAAAGGCACTGGTCACGTACATGTCGTACGCCAAAGCACCTGGTTGATCTGTATCAAGTCTCCCTGAAGAAAACAGAGAAAAATGCTGAAGCAAATTTTATTTCTGAAGATAATTTAGACTTCATGCATTTGGATGTAGCTGATTACTTTGCACTCCCAGAAGAAGAAACAAGTCATGTGATCGGTGATGAATCTATAGAGATATAAATATTTTAATTTTTGTTGTTTGTAGTAGATAATATAGTTATGTAGTAGTTGTACATAAATTAAAGTTATGCTTAGATAATTAGTTATGTAGTAGTTGTACATAAATTAAAGTTATGCTTAGATAATAATGTTTACTATCATATTTATTTTGTTTATGTCATTTTGAAGAATATGGATAATCCTCAAATTATGTTTGGATCAAAGACCAATCATGAAGATATTTATGTAATTGATAGTGGAACAACTCATGCCATATTCAAAGATCAGAAATACTTTTCTTATTTGCGTAAGGAAAAAGCAAATGTTTCTACAATTTCTGGTAATATAAGTTTGATTGAAGGCTCCGGAAGAGCTATTGTATTTCTGTCTAAGAAAAAAAACTTATTATAGATAATGCATTTTTCTCCTCCAAGTCCCGAAGAAACTTGTTGAGTTTTATGGATATCCGTCGAAATGAGTATCATGTTAAGACGATAGATGAAATGAATATGGAATATCTTTGTATTACAAAGAATGTTTCTGGCCATAAGTGCATTGTAGAAAAGTTACCAACTTTATCTTCTGGCTTATACTATTCAAAGATTAGTACAATTGAAGCACACTTTATCGTAAACCAGAAGTTTACTGATTCAAATATTTTTGTACTTTGGCATGGCCGTTTGGGCCATCCTAGATCAATAATGATGAGACAAATTACTGAAAATTTGAGTGGGCATCCATTAAAGAACCCAAAGATTCTTACAAATGATGAATTTTCTTGTGATGCTTGTTATCAAGGCAAAATGATCACTAGACCATCACCAATGAAGGTTGGCATTGAGTCCCCTGCCTTTTTAGAACGTATACATGGGGATATATATGGACTTATTCACCCACCAAGTGGGTTGTTTAGATATCTTATGGTCCTAATAGATGCATCTTTAAGATGGTCTCATGTATGCCTACTATCATCTCGCAACTTGGCGTTTGCAAAGCTATTAGCCCAAATAATTCGATTAAGGGCACAATTTCCAGATTATCCTATAAAGGCTATTCGCCTTGATAATGCTGGAGAATTCTCATCTCAAGCTTTTGATGATTACTGCCTATCAGTTGGGATAAACGTTGAACATCATGTAGCTTATGTTCATACTCAAAATGGCCTTGCAGAGTCATTTATTAAACACATATAGTTGATAGCAAGACCACTACGTATGAAAACACAATTGCCCACTACTGTTTGGGGCCATGCTATCTTGCATGCAACATCACTTATCTATCTCAGACTGACACATTATAATAAATATTCTCCGTCACAGTTTTTGGTCATGAACCCAATATTGCCCATCTACGAATTTTTGGATGTGCTGTATATGTGCCAGTAGTACCACCACAGCACAGTAAGATGGGCCCCCAAAGAAGGTTAGGAATATATATTGGGTTTGAATCACCCTCTATTATTCGCTATCTTAAACCATTGACGGGAGATTTATTTACTGCTCGATTTACAGATTGTCGATTTGATGAAATAAATTTCTCACAATTAGGGGGAGAGAAAAAGGAAATCAAAAGAGAAATTATGTGAAAAGTTTTATCATTATCCCATTTTGATCCACGTACCCCTATATATAATCAGGAGGTCCAGAAGATCATTCATTTATAAAATATAGCAAATCAAATGCAGACGCGTTTACTGATTTGAAAAGGATAACTAAGTCATATATCCCTGCAGAGAATGTGCCTATCTGAATTGATGTCCCAATAGGACCATCTACTAGCATGAGAGCTAGTGAACCTAAAGCACGCCTGAAGTGTGGTAGGCCTTTGGGTTCTAAGAATCGAAATCCTAGAAAAAGAAAATCGACAAATGATCAAAATGATATGATGAAGGGATCTCTTGAAGAGACCCAAGATCTGATTAGTTCTGAGATTCCTGAAGAAATCAATGAACCCGAGACTCAAGTGAGTGAGGAACTTTTAATAAGTTCTACTAGTGATGAGATTAATTTAAATCGATCTAAAATAGTGGTGGATAATATTTTTGCATTCAATGTTGCACTTAACATTATGTAAGATAGTGAGAATCTTGAACCCCGATCTGTCAAAGAATGTCGACAAAGATCTGATTGGCTAAAATGGCAAGAGTCAATTCAATCGGAATTGAAGTCACTTTCTCAAAGAGAGGTCTTTGGACCAGTAATCCAAACACTTGCTGGTATAAAACCAATTGGTCATAAATGGGGTTTTGTGCGAAAAAGGAATGATAAAAATGAAGTTGAAAGATACAAGGCTCGCCTTGTTGCACAAGGATTCTCACAACGACCTGGAGTCGATTATGAAGAAACATATTCACCCGTTATGGATGCCATAACATTTCGATATCTCATCAGTTTAGCCTTTACGTGAAAGGCTTGAAATACATCTAATGGATGTGGTTACGACTTATCTATACGGGTCACTTGATAATGAAATTTACATGAAAATCCCTGAAAGATTTAAAATGCCTGAAGCTTATTCAAAATTTCGAAAAATGTACTCAATCAGATTACAAAGATCTTTGTACGGTTTAAAGCAATCTGGGCGCATGTGGTATAATCACCTTAGTGAATATTTGCTGAAAGAGGATTACATAAATGATGTTATTTGTCCATGTATTTTTATAAAGAAAATGGCATCATAATTTGTTATACTTGTTGTTTATGTTGATGACATAAATCTTGTTGGAACTTCATAAGAGCTCCAAAAGGCAATTGGATATCTTAAAAAGAGAATTTGAGATGAAAAATCTTGGAAAGACAAAACTCTGTCTTGGTCTACAAATTGAACATTTAACAGACGGGATCTTTATCCATCAATCTGCATATACATAAAGGGTCTTAAAACGCTTTTACATGGACAAAGCGTACCCATTGAGTACACCAATAGTTGTTCGATTACTTGAAGTGAATAAAGATTTGTTCCGACCTCCAGAAAATGATGAGGAATTCCTTGGTCCCGAAGTACCCTATCTCAGTGCAATTGGTGCACTAATGTATCTTGCTAATGCTACAAGGCCTGACATAATATTTTCTGTTAATTTACTAGCAAGGTATAGTTCTTCTCCTACACAGAGACATTGGAACAGGATTAAGCATATATTGCGATATTTAAAGGGAACTCTTGATATGGGTTTGTTTTATGCTAACAAAGATAGTGCATATCTTGTTGGTTATGCAGATGCAAGTTATTTATCTGATCACCATAAAGCTAGATCTCAAACCTGGTACGTGTTTACATGTGGAGGTACTATCATATCATAGAGCTCCACAAAGCAATCTATTATTTCTACTTCTTCAAATCATGCTGAAATAATAGTTATTCATGAAGCAAGTAGGAAATGCGTATGGTTGAGATCAATAATTTATTTTATTCGAGAAAAATATGATTTGAAATGTGAGAAAAGACCCACAATTTTATACGAAGACAATGCTACATGCATATCCCAATTGAAGGGATGATTTATAAAAG